TCTATGCCACAGTTTTTAAGGTTGGTTTTAAGTCCCTCTTTCAGTGTCTTTTGCTGTCCACCAACATTATGTTTCCTGTTTTTGAGTTCGGAGAATAGTAACTGCTTTGGGAGATGGTGATCAGGCATTTGGACAACGTGTCCTTCAGTCCAGCAGAGTTTATGGCGGAGGAGCATTTCTTCAATGCTGGTGGTCTTTGCTTCTTCCAGCATGCTGACATTTCCCCACCTGTCTTCCCAAGAGATTTGCAGGATTTTCGGGAGGCAACGCTGATGGAATTGTTCCAGGAGTTGAATGTGACGTCTGCAGACAGTCCACGTTTTGCAGACATATAGCAGGGTTGAGAGGATACAATTTAAAATTCATAGTTTAGCCTTGGCTGGATTGGCCTGGATTGGCCTGAAGAAGAGAGAGACTTCGTTCCATTTGAAATTCGGGCAGAAAGGATTGAATCAAGCCTTTGTTTTTCTCTCTCTTCTCAGGTTGAAACTGGAGGAAGCCAAAGAAGTGCAGAATCTGAGGAAGAGACCAAATGGCGTCAGGTCGGTGTTTTATTTTATGTTATTTTGATCCTACTTTTCTCTCAAATGTCTCATGTCTATCCCAAGGTAACACAGTCCAGGAATTCCCATACATATATATATATATATATATATAATTACAGCATAAGTCCACAAGCAAATGGTATCCTTAGGAAAACTTGAGCAGAATACAAAAACAAGAGCATAGAACACTTCCAGGATACGTGAATCCAAGGCTTGATGTGCAACAAGAACCAAACAACTCAGGCCTAGCTTCTCACTGGAACACTACGATGCCTGAACTAACCCTTAAGTAAACAACTTGCTAATTAATAGGCACCCATGAAGTCATTTCTTTTCCCAAGAATATTCTCCCCAACTTTCCCAAGTAAACACTTTGACCAGCGCTGCCTATTTTCCACTCTAATCTCTAATCTGTAAACTAGTTTGTTGATCTCTGTAACTCCAGGTGTTTCTCCTGAGGGCCTCCCATATCACTTAGCTCTTTGCCCGACTCCTTATCTAATGTTGCAGTTTCTGGCTCCTCTGACTGA